TATTGTATTAACCACAAAAGAATTTTGGGGCGCAGAGCAGTAAACCAAGATTCTCATCTTCATGTGCATCTAAGATAATGACATTTCTATCAACTGTGGCCAGGAAAATTTTTTAGTTGCCCTTCAAACAACAAAGCCTCGACGATGGAACTCGTTCCGACAATAGCATGAGATCACCCGAATACTTAAGGGTAACGAAGGAACGCAAGAACGACGGACACGATTGAGGATCATGTGGACCGGGACTCCGGTAGCTAACCTCGGTCAGATCATCGAGCTGAGAACAACAGATATGACCTAAACGGACAATCGGCAAGATGAAGATCAAAGTCACGAAAAACCCTAGTCAGAATTCATTTTGGACTTTTGGGTTTTTTAAATTTTACTCATTTTTTACTTGTTGCAAATTTTGGAACAAAGTTGCACTTGCAAAATCGTCGGAAAAAGCTAGCTAGCGAATTTGAGACCTTACTCTTATTTGAAACAATATCTATTTTATGCCATCTTTTAAGAAAACGGTAGTACTTCAGACACTTACATGAAATTATTCCTTTTTTTATTTAATCTAAATATTATTATTCATGCATTGTCTTTTTTTTTTTAATTCGAACCTCCTGCCATTTTCACGATAAGTAATCAAGTCTCATCGTTTTTCGTAATTTAATTGGTGTTACCTAGCAAGATGAAATACAGACAACTATTTAATATTCCGTCTCATCGTTGGCATTGGGCAGATAGTGATAGACTTCACTGTTAATTAAGCATTTACTCTGCCTTTCTTTTTCCTTTTTTATTATTTTTTTGGGTAAGCATTCTACTTGGGTTTATAAGGAGAGGCAGTCTTGGTTTACTTCCTTGTGTGATCCACATGTTGGACCGTCTATTTTCAACCTTCAAATACGAAAGGCAAAGTCAATAAACCAAGCAGAAAATTCATCTCCACCTTCTTTTTCCACAAGTCATGCCCACGCTTCACCATTTGAACAAGCAAACCCCATGAAAATCCTTTAAAACAACTGAAAAAAGTCACCTTCACGTTCCATGCAACGACCTTTTAAACCCATGTCTTGGATTCTTCGCTCCACTTATTCCCAACATCAAGAACAGCTCCCACTCCAAACTCCAATTGAAGACATCAGGTCTCTCTTCATAGCTCATACTCGCTCATTGAACAGAACAAGGTTCCACACAATGAACAGCTCCTCCAAATTAGTGATCTTTCCCTTCCTGCTCGCGGCGATCCTGTTATCCACGTGCGCCACCGCCGCCGCAAGACCCCTGCACAGGGAGCGACAGCCAGGAGAGCACTTCGCCACGATCGAGTCGCTCCAGAGGGGCCAGGTGCCGCCGTCCGGCAGTTCGTCCTGCACCAACATCCCGGGAGGGGGCGGTGGCGAAAACTGCCCGTTGAACGAGAGGAACTTCGCCGGCCGGGTGGCTCGTCATGCCCCACCCACGTTGCATCCTAGAGTCGTCTAATCGATGGATTGTGCAACGAAACCAAGAGGACCCAAGTTCTTGAACTTGGTTGGAGAAGTTGATGATGAGCAGGAGGAAGGTTTGGCCACCTCTAGTAATACATGTGTATAGGCAAGAAATCTACATTATGCCGGTCCAAAAACACATCTTGGGTTGGTGTTTATTCATTATGAATATTTTGGTGTTCTTATCAGAATTTAGGTTTTTGTTAGATTGATGGACGCCGTATGCTTTGATTGCTGACGTTTTTATTGTACATGATTTGAAGATTTTTTTGAATTATATTAACGCTTAAAAATACCACTTCTCTACATCCGAACACACGTATCAAAATCATCTATTTGACGTAGCTCGCCCAAACTAATCTTTCGGACCATGAAATACTACTTCTCTATATCCAAACACATATATCGAATCATTTGCATAACGTCGCTTGCCCTAACTAATCTTGCGGACCGTCGGTCGATCATGCACCGGCTTGAATTCGTTACGTCTATGTTTAATTAGCGAAACCGTCCATGAACTAATTAAGAGTGTTTCTCTTTTCTTTTTCTTCTTTGGTTTTTTTTTTTTCTGTTTGCATGTTTGATATAAAGCCAATTAAAGCAGCGTCGGCATGCCAACACCCAACAGCGGTATGCGACCGCCAGTGAAATTATTTATTGATTTTATCAGATTGAAATTGACTCAAAAAACCAATTTTTATTGGTTTGAAATTGACTAATGTGGTCAAAGAAAGGTTGCGTTCCAAAATGTACTTGGGTGAGTGCAATCTCTGATTTTTTTGGGGAATTGACATCGCTATCTATGAACAAGGTCAAATGGTTCTCAACTTCTACCCGTAATTATAAAAATACATTATCAAGATTAGTACTGCGTCAATGTCCACCAAAGTGAACTTGTATGTGAATGAGCATGGTGCAGACTTTTCTATCATCAGCTGAATTCGTTTCATTTTACTTTTATTTTTTTAACCTTTCTTTTGTTATTCTTTTAATTGTCCGATTCTTTCATAATACCTTTGGTCGCCACCTGGCGATCGGACTCGAATCCGTGACCACGTTTCTTGAGAAGCCAACAATTCTCAAACATAAGTTTGATCGAAATGCCAATCAATTTGATTGGTATGCTACTGGGAAAAGTACCAAAAAAGTCATAAATCTATTGCATTGGTATTAATTCAGTCCTAAACCTTTCAATTAGATCAATTTAATCATAACATTTTTCACATTTATACCAATTTAGTCCATCTGGCCAATTTAGATAGGAAATCGCTGACGTGGATGCCGACTGTCCTATGTGGCACGGCCGGCGCTGACGTGGAATTTTTAAATAATCTTTTTGAATTTTTAATGTTTTTTTCCTTTTTTTTTTTTCCTTTCTTCTCCTTCCTTGGGCCTATGGCCGGTGGCCATAGCCGCTGACCAGTCACAGGCGAGGGCCGGCGAGGGCATTGCCGGCCACATGGGAGGGTCGCCCTCGCTAGCAATGGCAAGGGCTGGACCCTCGCGGCCTGGACGAGGGCGGCCCTCGTCGGATTTGGCAAGAGCTGGACCCTCGCGGCCTAGGCGAACATCCAAATCCACTTTTCACTGCTACTAAAATAAAATAATAATAATAATAATAATCTTAACCATTGAATAAGGAATTGAGTATGCTTGTGTGGGTAAAACTCCGAACTTAATTTCCAACTATCCGTGCTAAACAAGCGACGTTGTCGACGGAAATATAATTCAGCTCAAAATAATGAATGGATGAGATCTATTAATTTATTGAAAAAATATTCCAAATGTCAGATGTACAGTAAAGAATACTGTTTACACACTATACAACACAACAACAATTCAACGAATTTAAAACGTGGCTTGTTTGAACATCTATGTACATATCAATAAATAACGAAATTTCAAGAAATTAACCAATGAACGTGTACAGGTGTAAACTGCTAGCTAGATAGTACCAACAAACAATCAAGAAAAGAAATGTGACGAAAGAAGTCAGCTTTGTTTCTTGATGAACCGCCGCCGGGAAGCGAAGTTCTTCTAGCCATCTGGACAGGGTGGGCCGCCGCCGCTGCCGGGGATGTTGGTGCAGGTCGAGGCGCCAGAGGGCGGCACATCGCCCCTCTGGAGAGACTGGAAAACGAGCTCCTTTCCTGTCAAGGGTATGCTCTTCTCATGCAAGATTCTGGTTGCTTGCAAGAGTTGGACATGGAAGGCAAATAGAATCAGAATTGATGCAAAGATAATGACAATGTTGAGAAGCCTCATGATACACAAGTTTAGCTTGGGACAATGATTCTCGATGCATGATCTTGTGTCACTAAAACTAATTTATACCGATGATTATTCGATGGGGTAGAATTTGATTTGACTTTTATTCTTTGGTTTTAGTTGAAAGATTTTGAACGTTGACCGCTACATTAAGATAATGCTCACATCCAAACCAAGAATTTGAGATTGATTAAAGGGGTGGAACTTTGGAAGTTCGACACAAAGAATTTGATTTTTTGGGGCTTTGTCCTATGCGAAAGTTACTTGCGTGGACGCTTTTGCTTTTGTCCTAGTTTCTTGTACGAGGAAGTTTCATTATTTGTCCAAGATCGATATCTATTTGGCCAAAGTTGGCAATGGACCTAAATTATTTGAACCTTTGTCGTTTCTGCCGGTCGCAGTTGCGTCATCCTTTGAGGCAGGAGGAAGATAAGAATCTCCGTTCTCCTTTACCTATGGTTACGTGAATTTGATTTTCTTTCTATGTCCGGCTTAATTAGATTCAACAAATGGCGAGAATTCACGGCCCGGATTTCATGCGGGCTCCATTGATAACTTGTATCGCTTATAAAAATAAATGAACGAAAAACATTTTCGTCGTCTACAAAAATGCGTAGTAATAAAAACATTTTGCATTGGCTAATTATTTCAGGAGATACAAACGATCATTTTTAAGAAAATATTTTTCAAATTATTCATTTTTCGCGAAATAAATAAAGCCTTACGAATTATAGTAGAAATTCTGTGGAACGAATTACTTCTAAATGGGATTTCAGAGCCATCAACAAAGTGGCAATTGAGCATATCTAAATATCAATACCGACAAAGGCATCACTAAAAGTCGGATCGTTGACCCAATTTTGGAAGAAGTGCAAGAAAATTTTGAGGATAATTTCAACCGAATATAGGGACGAAGGGTCTCATATGATTCATTTCACAAGATCTTCAAAGGGTTTTCCTAGAATTAAAAGTATTCCTTTTCGCTACAATTTATGCAGCTCTGTGAACTTCCACTGTACAAGACAGGAACACAAATCAGTAGGAATTAGAGCAAAAAAGGGTGTTCTAGGACTGAATAATAGCCGGCACCGAGGGAGAACCACCTTCCCGGAGGTCAAAAGGACAAGCGAGGGAGCCAAATTCGCATGCCTGAATATCAACGAGCACCTAGAATTCTCTCAACAGAAATTCATTGTCACCTAGCATCGGAACCAAAGGAAAGAACAGCGGGCCTATCGAGACAAGCAATTACTAGAAAATCACATACCATGAGGCTCGCTAAAACTAGGCTTTAAGAAAACCCCATAATACACGAGAAACCGTCGATCCGCAAGAAGGAAGGAAGCAAACAAGTGAACTCCCTCCTCCGAATGTTATTCTTTTTTTTTTGCTAATGAAAGGACTACAACCTCAATCCAGATCTAACACCCATTTTCTCCTTCCAAGTACATATATGTAACGGAGAGCAGCCCAATAATTTTCAGGCGACTCCGTTTCATTCATTGCCATTTCAATGACCATTAGGAGGCCGAAATGCCTTATAACCATTGACCCCACATGCCAAATTTGAATAATCCGAAGCATAAAATGGGTAACCATCATGCTCTGGATTCTTCATTCCCAGCATGGATAAGTCGGATCCAGCCACATGCCACTGGTTCGGCATCAACCCATCAATCTGCCCATTTGCATGAGGTAGTGAACTAACCTGCGGAATATATCCAGTCGCCGAGTCAAAACTTCCTGGAAAGGAGCCAAACGCTGGTTGAATCCCATTTTCACGATAACTCCGCACTCGTTCAAAGCTGCATGAGCTGGCAGTTGACTCCACATCCCCTGACATCCCCAGATCATGGGGGAAAGAAAACTGGCGATTTAACGAGAGGGACCTACTTCCGAGAGACTGGAAACCCAGCCCTGATCTAGTGACCTTCCCAACAGCTTGCTCATCGTCCAGTAAGTCATTTATAATATCGAGGTGCGGAAAATCATCAGCTGGCAAACCTTGTGTTTGACGCCCAGACGTGCAGGCCTGAAAGTCAGGGAAGTGATCTCGTGATCTGCTGTGCGAAGACCTGTAATACTCCACGTTCCGAACATCACTCTGCAGAGGAGGATCACTCCGTGCACATCGGCCATCCAGATTCTCCAACCACTGCGGTCCATTTGACAACACGTCCCGATTCATTGTGCCAAAAGGGAAGCCTAATTTGGGTGCACCATAGTCCATGTCAGTGCTAGGGTTCAAGAACACTGGTGAAGATGCTAAGGTGGGCGACGGCATATATGCTGACACTTTCCCTACAGAGCTTGGCGAACATTGGTTTGTAAAAACGGTTGAAGTCGAAGCAGAGGAATTGCCGATTATAGCATTTCGATATGACAAAGGAACATAGCTGGGGGATGATACTGAGGAAGACTCAGGAGCCAACCGACCGACTGCACTCACAGAACGTGCTAGAAGTGGAGCTGTTTGGACAAGAGAAGCAGCAGGAGCATTTGGCCTAGTACCAGGTCCTAGTGGAGCACTAGAAGGCCTTGACATTACAGGAACTTGCGGAATGGGTTTTTCAGTCGTTTTAGGAATTACATCCCTTTGAGTCTCAGACTTGGACAAAGTTGCTGTTTGGGACGAGATTGTTGGAAGTACTATCTTATCATTCTCTTGCTTGCCATTCAAAGATGTCTTCCTCATTGATGTTCGATCCCCAGAAGGAATAATTTTCTGCGCCGGTTCCGACCGGGCATTGGAGATAGTATTTCTAGGAGGGCTGCTGGAAGAGGATTCTGCAGCAATTGACTTCTCTCTAGATGGCTTTTCTTCATCAACTTGCTTGATGCTTGATCCCCTCTGCAGGGAAACAGCTTCTCCCTGTTATAATAAAAAATCAAATGCCATCAGCTTAGACTCCATGGAAAATAAAACTGAAAAATTGTGAAGTAATCCATGATGATGATGAAGAAGAAGATTTTCTAACATAGTATTGACTATAAGTATAATGCCCTGACAAACCTAACATTGAAAATTATCCCATCCCAGCTCCTGCTGTATCTGTAAAATGGTTATCCAGCATTGCGTATGACGTAGGATGGCTCTTTGCCTCTGAACAGGACTTCACAAAACATACCTAATCTACCTAATCTAATTTCCTTTCAATAAAATCTCTTCGAAAGTCTCTCATCTCCTACAGAAATGCAAGAAATTGAAGAATGTTTGGGAGAACCAATACGAGCAGAAACGTATGTTGCTGACGTCATTTGCTAATCATACACATTTACAAATTTGGCCATGCCTTGATTTGTTTTAAGATCTGAGACACCATACAAGTCAGAACTCAGAGGTATAATTCAAGCACAGGATATGATACAATTTTGATGTGTCTCCTTCGAAAGGAAAGAAATGTGAAACAACATCAAATCCGGATCCGAAAAATAGTATAGAAGAAAATTAGTTAGTCTGCTAAGATGCATCTTTTATTTTCTCATCAAAGCTCCATTGAGATTTCAAGGCCCTAATACTCAATTCGTGCCTAGTCAGAAGAAATAATATCTGACTTAATCCATATCATTAGTTTTATAAATGAAAAAATCCTGCAAATAAAAGATAATTTACCATTCTTCACATATGGTATTTAAGAGTACATTCTTCAACATTAGCTCTTGAGGGTACTATATCCAGTACATAGTAACAACTGAAAATATGTTGCCCTGTTGGTTAGAATTATCACGCAAATATGAGGTGGCAGCTCAAGTCCCCTATTGATTAGAAACAAAGAGGGCACACCTCAATTATTCAATAAGCAGTAACTTCGAGGGAAAAATAGGAAGGATAATTTTCCTTGGAATTACAAAGCAGAGACTTTTAGGAGGCTATCTGACAACAAAATCCGAATATCTGCCTTCACCATATTAATCTCATTAAAGTTCCAAGTTTAACAAGGAAAAACGATGGTCCTAAAGCCTCTCTCCCTTTGATATGCACAAGTGTCGAGTGGACAATACCATCATGTGGCATAATCAACCAACAGTGAAGACAGAAGAATGTGACATCAACAACCATGTCAACAAGAAGTTAGGTTTGAATGACAGCATATTCTACCCAAAACGGAACCCCATAAAGTTGGATTATTACCAAAAAGGCACTATGTTAATAACAAGGACGGAGGACACAAAATATTCTGCTTAGTCATGAAAGTATCCTTAGTTCTCAATATGCTTTTCTTAACAACTAGCAGACAATATGAGCTCACCAACTTTGAACAAGTAATAAATGAATTCTTGCAATTCTGATTAAGTGAATCCCACCTTTTTAACCACATCATGCTCAGACTGTCTTAATTGATGATGGAAGGAGAGAGCATCAGCCTCAACCTCGGTGTCAGCTACCTTGGTATTCGGGATATTACAAGACTCTCCCACGTCAACTGCGAGTTCAGCAGACTCATTCTCTGTTTTGTTGGTCCAGTAACTCCAATCACGTGTTTCAACCTTACCTTTCTGACTCTTTCCCCTGTAGAAACACATGCTGACGTGCATCAATGCCATGAGTCTCGACTTTAAAATAAAAATAGTGTCGTTTAAATTTTACCTGCTAGGTGATCTCTGGTGTTTATGGTTCGATGAAAATGAGTTCCCCTTGTATGGTCCACTAACTCCAACTGAGGGGACTGAATCAGTAGAACAAGTTGAAGAGCTATCATCCATCATAGATGGGCTTCTTTTCTCCACTATTCCATTCTGTACCGAAGATAGTCCACTAACCCCACTGCTACTGGCTTCTGTAGGAGGATGAACTTCAGAAGCGTCAGTGTCCCAATTGACAGGACTTGCATCTCTCTCATCTGAATCAGGTTGGATTACTTCACCGACACCGTCCACCACATCTGATGTGTCTGAAACATCTTCCAGTACATCAGGCTTTTCAAGCACAGGGCTTACATCCTCTGGGATAAAGTCTTCTTTTTCATCAACAGCATTTTCTTCTTCGTGCTTGTCATCGGCTGTGGCACCATGTCTTTCATCTCTCTCCTTATCTTTTGCTTTGCGATTAAGGCGCTTCTGCTTGGCCTACAGTCCAGAAAGTTGAGCCTTTCAGAAAGCAAGAGAAACTATAGAGAACAAAAGAGAACATGTATCCACACGTCGATATAGGATGACAAATAAGCATCCCCCAAGTCCAGCATGACCAGTCTTAAACGATTAAGAGACTAGAGTAACTTAAAAGGCCGTCTGAACAAGAAAGTATTTTATGTAACGGATATACCACGTGGCAGTAATGATATAGTGTCACAGAACAATCACCATCGGCCACGTACCATGTCTGTATGCATCTCATGACAGTGATAAGAGAGTGTAACCGACTAATCACCATTGCTCGCGTACCATGTGAGCAGACATCTCACTTTGATTAGTCCGTTACACCACGTGTTACTGACACGTGGTGTGTCCATCACATAAATACCTCCTCCGTCTAAACAAAAACTCCATTCTAAAACCCAAAACAAAAGTTCCTCTCTATGAATTATGCTATTGCAGGTCAAAAGTCGTGATAAGTATATCCATAATTACTAACTACCAACCAAAATTGCTAATGCAAAAACAATAAAGGAATGACAAATAGAGGACACACCTCCAATTGCCCCCCCCCCCCCCCCAAAAAAAAAAAAACCGAGCTTTATCAATTTTGGATCACAGTACACATAGATAGATGGCTAGGCTTGCATTAATTCGCCTCATGACCTTTAAAATCCATTAGCACATAAACCAGCCAATATTGGTACAAAGTACTAATAGCTAAGAACATCAAACCTGCTTTTTCTTTGACTTCTTTTCCTTAAGATTAGCTCCACGTCTTGCCTTCTGCTCGCTTCCAGCCAGCCATGCTTCTTCTTCTTCACGAATGAGCTCTTCTTGCCGCTTCAGAGCAACAGCCTCTTGGTAGGCAACTTCAATTTTGTTACTACACGAGACAGTGATGCAACGCAGAGCAAATGATACATACATTTGATGTCAAACATCCTTAAGACATCATAAGAATTTACACAAAAGTATACATAATCCATTTTAGAAGATAAAAGCACATTTATAAGATTATAATGACCACCACACCAAAGAGCACTATAAAACATTGATCTAAGTCCAGCTTACACAGCTGCAGATTTGACTTTCTACTAACAAATCCAATCACAAAGAAGCATTCCACAACTTTTGATAATAAAACTTCTTATAGGTCAATCACTATTTGCTCCCGACAATGATGTCAGCAGTCCAGTAAGCTCAGAGACAATTGGAAAGAAAAGGTTTCCCATATTTGCAAAGAGAAGCTAACCTTATCGTCGAGAGAAAAGAGTCGGGAGAGGTATGTAGCAAGCAAAGAAAATAATAACTTCAGATAGGGAGAAAATGATGGTGCTTAACCATGGTAAAGAATCTGAACTGGCCGTCATCACCATGTATTTCTAAGTGAAGTTAAATATCTTTTAATAGATTCTTTGCCACACTGGATAAAGCCTCCACAGACATCGTCCATTATTCCTAGTCAATGTCTAGGGGCGGGCTCTTCCCATTCAAGAGATCGGGTGATTCCAGGAAGGTTTGCCAGGTGCAGTCAAATGATCAGAATATGTTTGAGATATATATGCTTCAACTTGACACTTTCTCGACATTCAAAATCCACTGCAGCATCTAATGGATACATAACATGAATTGAAGAGGAAATTTGGCAAAAGTCAATTCACTATGGCAAAGCAATCAAACTATCCACAGACATGTAAGAGTGAAGTAGACAAAGCAAAGTGATTGGAAGTAACATAACATCATTGGTATGTTAGCAAAATAAAACTCCTATCAAGTAAATGCACAAACAACCCCTGAAAGATGAAAACTAGGTCAGTTCACAGAAATCTATCTGTTTCGTGGCAAACAAGCCAGAAAGACAACTATAAGAAGAAAGAGCCTGAAAAATTCCTCCACAAGGAAATACCTGAATATATGTGCAAGTACAAAAATCTCCACCGTTCTTCGACCCAATTCTGTCAACCGCCTTTCATCACGCTCAATGGAATCCTTATTGAAGTCCTCACCAGAATTGCCATCCTAAAGTTTTATTGAACAGTCACAGAGCCATGACTTAGGTGAAGACCCAAACAATTATGTAATTAATGAAAAACAACGAAACAAGCAAGCAGTAGAACAGGAAGGAAAAACACGAAGTGATAAACAAAGACCAGTACAATATGCAGGTAAGTAAAACAAATCAAAAGAAATCCGATTTCTTTGTGCACACACCATGGGCCAGTACAGAGTTGATCATACACATGCTGATCTACCCATAGTGTAAACTTTTTTTTATAGAAAAAACTTATATAAAAGGCAAACTTATTATGCGCAAGTGTAAGGTTTCACACCACTCAATTTCATCTGACAACTTGACCAGTCTTCTGATTAAAACTTCCAACGGTCACCAAAATAACCAATGACAATCCTAGGTTGGACTCCCCATACTAGTAAAAGCAGCCCCACATTGAAAGAAGAGAGAAAGAAAACACCTCACCCAGCATGTCTTATTCAAGTAAATGTCGCCTTCCTAACTGTCATGTCATAATAAGGACATGATGCATCTAGAAAAGCAAGGCAAGACATCAGGAAGCATAAACCAACAAGATCCAACCAAGAGGCAGGAGTTAGAGAATGAGTCATTCTGTATAACAGCTATTCACCATTAGACCAACATCTAAGGAAAAAAAAAAGCACTTTTGGCATAAAAATGCAGTTATGGTCCAATCCATAGAAAACTAAATGCCACCATTTCATTCAAACTCTGACACTCTGCAGGTTTACGCCATTCTTTGTGGTTCCCCATACCATATCAGCATAACAAACTAGAATAGACTTGACAGCGCACCTTTGTTCGATTTTGAGGACCCTTCTCGTCTTTTGGAGGCAGAGGTTCCAAGGCAGCCCTTTCAAGCAGTAATAATACGTCATCGACCAAAACAAACATATCTTTCTCCACCGAAACAATGGGAGCTGGCATTTCATCAGGATCCGATACTTTTGGCCTCCCTTTCTTACATTTGCTTTGCCCTTCAAGAGCCTTAAAACCACTATACAAGGAATCCATAACCAAAGTCGAGGTAACTTCTTTTTCTATGAAAAAGTGTTTCACCACAACTTTGAGAATCACATCCATTTTCTCTTTTGACATACGGCGTCTAGCATTTTGGTCGATTCCCAACCAGAAAGAACAGAAGCTGCAAAATCATATATCTTCCAATTTAATAGGCAACTAACCTCACAAATCAGATTTCAATATACAAACTACCATTAAATGAAAACAAAAAACGAAGAAATTTGAATAATCAACAATGGCCCCAGTGAGTCCTCAACTAAACACTTCAAAATTCAGAAGATAGTGATGAGAACATTATATTAGTTGAAAAATAGTACTAATAGCAGTATACCTTGACCATCTAGCCTTGTCCTCGATCAGCTTCCCAAGCTTGCCCCTTCTCTCTTCGACAAAACGTCGGCAGATTTGCTCTACATTAGTCAAGTATACACGAACAAGTTCTCTCCTGTATTGAGAATCCAGGCAACGAAACGGTCGATCTGCTTTCTCCCTGATAATGATCAAGCAAGGTTGATCAGGTGATAAAAATGAGTGTCTACTAGTCAAATTGAAGCCATAGTTCTATAGGCAAAAGTAGGTTACGGAAGTTTCGAAGAAAAATAGTAACAATCACTTCAATATTAAGATAACAGCATCTTGATCTCGGTGACCCACCAGACCATTGGATAGCAACAAAAGGCAAAAGGCTCTCATATGGAATTGGAAGGTTTCTCAACTCATTACTCCAAAATAATTTATACAAGCACGACTTTTCATGACATATACAATATTACCAAAGTACTATTTTTTCTACCTTTCAAAGACAGGATTGACTGGGTATAGATGCATGAGTAAGTCTAAATTGCAAACAATAAATTTTAACTGAGAAGGATGAAATTATCATGCGAAACTTCACAATGTGGATAAACTAACCAATTATCATGATCAATCCACACACACACACACACACACACACTAAAAGATATTAAAAGAGAAAGAAAAGAAAATCTTCAACTGCCAGAAAAACCAAACATGTTAATCTAGACATCAATCCTCTGTCCGCTTAAAAAACTGGCCTAAAAGTGATATGCATCAAGGAATTTTTTAATTTAGAAAAATATATATTTAAAAGGAAAGACTTTTAAGTTAATTGATCACAATGGTTATTAAACAGACGAAATTGCGAATCGCCCACCTTTAAAAAGATAAAACTGCACATAGATTATACAGGAGAATCAACAGATACTAGTGAAAACAAGGCAAAATCAAATCACGCTATATACTTCACTGCACAAGTTGCATTATAAAAAACGATGCAAGTACAGTCAATTTTTAAGGGACGTTCAGATGACCTGAATGTAAGAGACCTTAAACGCCAAGGGGGGTGGGGGGAGGGGGAGAGGAGAGAGAGAGAGAGAGAGAGACAAGAAGAAGAAGCTATGAACACTAGATCAACAACACCATGACATCAAATCAACCGTTTAAATCCTTCATGTGACATAGGGAATGTCAACACACATCCACTGATTATGAATTTCACACTCAAGTACAGACAACCAGATACTGGCACTTTAACTAGGAAAGATAAACTTAACTCCAGTCCCTTGACTACTAGCAAAAGTTTATAATTAGACAACTTGAAATTGATTATAAAATATTTTGGGCTTCAAATAGATTCAGAATCATCCTCAACTACATCTGTACAAGAAGAATTCGCTTTATGAACAAGTGGCTTAATTTTGCAAAACAATGTGACAGCCATGCCACTTGGCACAATTTAAAGGGCATAAACATGATGAAAATACCGATGAGTCACACACAATAAGAAAAGAGACATTTTGTTCTCAAAAGAGACTAAATTGAACCTATGCAGAAAAATCTCTTAAATGAAGAATACGAGAAATGAAACCATTACATAAAAGAGGAAAATGAAAATAAAGACCTAATGACTTGGACTTGAGCTTTTATGATAAGGGTGTCAGCATCAATAAACCCATCAAATACTTTCGACAATTCCATAAACTTTTTCCATCCCCAATCATGCTCCTTCTTCCAAAATCGATGTAATGTATCTGCAAAACTTGAAGTAAGCCAGTTATTACCCTTGGTAGGGTCAAAACTTCGGTAAATGCCACTAGATTAATGTAAATCAACCCACCTGAATATTTTGATTTCTTTGGATCTTTATTCACCACAGCTATTGTAAATTGTGCAAAATGACTCCATCCTGCTCAAAGTAAAACAATATTCTTATGTAAAAAGATATGTTGACTGTATCATAATGAGATATACAAAAACTATCATCAAATGCATTTTAAACTTGAAAAAGGATTGAACCTGGAAGAAGTTTGTCGTGATTGGCAACACAGAGAAACAAAGAGAGATGGTTGCAGACATCACAACCTTGGGGATATATTAAAATATACCTGCATTGCAAAGGCAAATTATCAAGCAACGCAACCAGATCATGTGGTAAACAACCAAATGCATACAGACTGAAAGCAATTCTCCATTCTCCGACAAAATCTCAAACTTGTTTTGAATGTTTTAGTTCAAGTACACCGAGAACAAGATACTTCAAGCAACATGGAAAAGTTTAATTATCCTTACAAAAGAGACTTAGATCGAATCAAATAATACAACTTCATCATCAAAGGAAACTAGTTCAAATGACTGCATGGAAACAGCATATCTTTCACATTACATTCAGAACAAACTATTAGTTCACAGAAAAACATAAGGGCGTTCTGGATAGACTTTTATTTTTTGCTTTTTGCCTAATCTAAATCTTACATCAGACACATTTTGACTTTTTCTTAGCCCAAATCACTTGAAACTTTCACAATATACAAATGCTGACACATACATTCACAAAAAATTTTATGCTTTCTTAAAATTTGTACAATATGTTAGATTTAAGGGGGAAAGCAAAAGGTTGCTTTTTGCTTTTTTGAAAAACATAAACAAACAGGCCCTAAAATGTGGATGTTCAGCCATACTAAGATAAAGCATTGGATGCAGAGACAAGCATACTAACATAGGAATTCTCATCAACTATCACTAACTCAACCTTACTGTCAAAACCCTGCATAGGAGATGAGAAAGAGGAAATAAACAGTCCGTATTATACAACAGTATATTTACCTTAAAAATGCTTGTCTACGAGATATGGAAGAAAAGTTAACTGCGGTATATTCCTAGTCACAATAATATTCATCATGATGAAGTAGGCAAAGTAAGGATGTCAGGAACCATTCCTATCTTGCAACATAAGGTAGATGGCATGACCAACATTTAGTTAATGTCAACGCTAGCAATTAGTTTCCCAAAAGATCATTGACTGATATAAGAGAAAGAAACAATCTGATTTCTTCTCATTCCCTGAGAGAATACTAGGTTATAGCGTCATGCAATTGCAGATGGTAACTTATCTGTGTGGAATTCCCCCACCACAGCCCCCCGAAAAGGAAAAAAAAAAAAACCTTCTCTTTTTCTCTTGATTCATGAAGTAGGTATCCCTATCCAACCTGGAAGATTTATTCCCCACTTTTCAGTAAATTGGAAGCCAAACAGTTCCCCATCGAAGCAAGAAGACTGAATTTCACAATGTTGACCAAAACCAACATGGCACTCGAAAGAAAAAATATCATGCCATCTAGTAGAAGTGACTAGATTTTTTTATTACAACAGCTACAACCAAATTCTTCCAACTAATTGCGTAGGCATCACAGATCTTCTTCCTCCATTGTGTCCCATTAAGTATCGAGACTTCAGTAGAACCTAAGTCTTTAGTGACTCAATCTTTCCAATAGAATACATAAAATGCATCTTGTACAGAATTAGTTCAAGAAGATGAACACAATCACAGCCAACTTCCATCTACTATAAAGAGTCGTACCATTTATAGCCGCCAGCGTCAAATACATGACTACGAAGTTCCCTTTTATTGATCTGTGAAAACTTGTCTATCTTCCATGTATGTTTTCCATACAACTCGGAAGGTTTTGGCCCTACAAGGAAAAAGAGAGAGAGAGTTCTTCAACAAAAGCAACCACAATATGTATAAGTACCTGAAACAAAGAGCAAGATGAGACAATATCCCCTAAGAAAAATGCCCCATCATCACAATGACATGTTTCATCAATAGAAAATTGTTGAGAGACAGAGTAGAGAGAGGCAATCCTCAAACCAAGTGGAAGAGGGAAGGAGCTACAGCATTTATCTAGTATAAATCATCCAAAACCGCTGACCAGCTAACCAAAACTTTTCAAATTTCGGACTTATTGAGAAAAGAACCTTTCAGATTTATTTCAATAAAACTCGCACTTTTATGGAAGTCAAAAGTTCTAATTTCACAGCCAAACAGGAAGAATGCGGTTGAAAGCATCAAGAATAATCATCTATATTGGCATCAAATCCTATTTCAAGGAACTCCAGCTGTGATGATGACTTCATAGAAAAATTGGGTAATTATGACTTCATAGAAAAAAAGGATTATCCTATGCGCCGATCCACACAAAGATTCAACAGAACAAATAAATCCAGTCATTGCAAAACTTGAACTGAATCAAAGAAGTCTCTTCAAAGGTTGCAAGCCCCTTTACCACCCAGCATTCACTATTAAGCAGTCTTCTCATCAAGAATTGATTCAGTACATTTGTAAATGACGGCTTTTGACGATCTCGAAATCACAGGAAGCCAGGTAAAGACAAAATTGAGTAAACAGAATTAAAGCTGAAGAAGTAAGCACACCACCATCTTCATCGTCGTCATCGTCGTCAGTATCCCAGTATGGAGGCGAAGTCGATGGGGTTCCCTTTTCCACCTGCTCTGAAGATCGCCATTCCGCCAATGCTTCCCCAGATTGAGAGCTCTGAGCACTCAAAATCCCCTCCTCAGACCTTCCCACTCCAGAATCCTCCGTCGAAACACCAGCCATTTCTCGCAATCAAACTCCCCTTCCAAGCCGGCTCAACTCTTATAGCTACAAAACGAATTTCAGTCATTAATCGAAAAGAACATTCAAAGTAAAGCTTTGAACCAATACTTTTTGCGTTGCAGAAATCAGTTTCACTATCCACACACACATTCTTCCAGATAAAAAAAAAATAACTCCCACAATAAGAAATCCAGTGTCTAATTAATCAGACGCCGCGAATGTCAACCCAACCATTTTAAGGATTGCCAATAGATAAAGCCCGCAATCGAGAAAAATTTGGAATCCCAAAACAACAGTCACTTGATCCAACATACGCTACCAAACCCAGATGATATCCAAAAGGCAACCGCAGAAACAACCTCCCTTCACGACCTAAATCCCCTCGTTTCCCCGAAAACCCAGGCGAACCACCCAGCAAAATCCAAACACCAGAGACCCCCCCCCCCCCCTAAAAAACCTAACGGGAAACACCATTCCCGGTAATTCGACAGGCGCCCACGAAAACCCTAAACAAGAATCAGGCAAAAGAGAAAAACCGCCGACCAAGGATTGAAATCGCCCCCCGATTGACCCAAATTTGCATGAATACCCAAACCCCCCCGCGCGACGCGCCCCCGGCGAGCGCGGAGATCGGCGGCCGGGAACGCCCCGCGGGGCCCAATCCGAATCGGAATCGCGGGGGGCGATCGGGCGGAACTCCATCGAAACGGGGAGCGAATCGGGAGAGAAAAAAAACGAAAACGCGAAAACACGGAACCGATTCTCGCGAGCCGGGGGCACGCCGCGGCGGCGAAGGCGGCGCGGCTGGGATTGAACGGCCCGGGGCGCGCACTCACCTCGGGGGCAGAGGAGGATGGGGGAGACCGGCGGGCGACGGCGGCGGAGGGGCGGCGGCTTTTTGGGGGGGGGGGCGGGGAGGCGACGAAAATTTGGGGGGGGGAGGGGGGGCGCACGAGAGGTTTAAGTGAGAGAAGGAGAGAGAGAGAGAGAGAGAGAGAGAGAGAGAGACGGAAGGCGGAACCAGAAAGGCAAAATTTTTATTCTCGGGCCCTTTTTTCTTCTTTTTTAATTCCGTTATCTTTTTTTCTTTTCTCTTTAACTGATTGATTAATTTTTTTTTGGGTCGATATTTAATTAATTCGGTCCGGGCGGCTTTTATTACTCGTGAAATACAAGTAATGAGGTTGTATAGGGCTTCTGATTTTCGAGACGGTATAAATAGAGAAATGCATATAAATAAAAAAGAAAAGAACGAAGGTCGAAATAAATCGAGCACTGCAGATCACACACGGTATTATTGCGAAGCGCGTCATGTTTTACTATCTTTTACCGTGGGTTTTTTTTTGCGAAAATTGCCAAAAAGCAAAGATTTTAAGGTGGGGAAATTATGAAAATTAGACAAAATTGAGGAGGTGGTTTTTATTTTATTTTATTTTATTTATAGGGTCGGTGACCTTTCATTTTATTTTTTATTTTTTTTTTTGGGGGTCATAAGGAAGGAGTGACCTTTGCAGGGTGACCTTAATTTTGGAAGCTGTGCTTGACCTTTAAAGGCTTTCGGGGTGCATCAAAAGATGTTGGGGGTGATTGGCCAATGGCCATGCACTTCGTGGGGCCCCACCAGATCCTCCTTTGCCCAATTAGGGTTCGTGTCGATTTTTGGGATTGTGCTCTTCTTTTGCTCTTGCCTACATGCGAGAGAAAGTGGAACCCCGTTATCTTCTTCTAATCTATCCTCGACTAGATGATTTATAATTTTATGAACTGTATTTGATCTCCAGTGTACCGCGATCTCAATGTTGGAATCCGTTCTATCTTGCAAATAACCTTAGGAAAGTTATGGATGTTAGAGAACGGTGAAAGAGCAACAGCGTGTGTTGTGGGAGCGCGATACCTTCGCCCGTTGCCAACTAAGATATATTAGCAGCTTCACACCGCATCGAATTCTCTGATTAGAAATTTCTTTAACACAACTTACCTGTGTATCTTACTGTTACACAGGATTATTCCTACTATGCCCATCACCCAAAATCAGGTTGGTCACCAGATTTATTCCTTGAGACATTCATCAAGCACCAGAACAAATTGGAGAACCCACCAATCTACCATCGGTTCTAATACCATTTGTTAGGAGCGCATAGCATATGCCCAATACTTTCACCTGGGAAGATTGCTAAAAGAGAGCCTAAGTCTAAGCTCGTCAATATATCCAATTGAACCCACATTCATTCAAAAAGTTTAAACCAATTAGGATATGTTAAATGCTCCACACCACGTCATTTTTCGATATTGGACTTTTTTTACACAATTTACACGTGCATCTCAACAGCGTGAGTGCTTTGTCAAGCATTCTAACTTACATAATCTTTTTGTCAATTATTCAATATATATGGTTATCATTTTTATTTATCTTTTGAAAGACATGAACGTGGCTGAAATTCTAGGTTTGAGATTGATTAGATTTACTATATCATATAAAGAAACATATCAATCTTTTACTTTCATAAATTAATGGAGTCTTGTGTAGTGAGATTGACATTTTCAAAACTTTTGCGTCGAATTTACTTATTATTATGCCAGTGTTAAATTTGCTCAATGTGAGAATAACAAAGAAATCGGGATGATATAGAATTTATTGACAATGAATATTATAAAACTTAGAAGTTCAGTAACTAATATGTACATTTATTATCAAGACATAGGCTAATAAATACTTTAATTTTTCATATCAATGTATATCAACCAGAGATTTCTTAGCAACTTTGAAGATATTTTCCATAAAGGGCATTAATGATTTTGCCTACTTTCTATCAATCCAAGAACTTATTAAAATTACCGCAATAAAAAGGTAAGAACCCATGCCTTTGAATAAACATTCGTGCACAACTCGTCAAGTACATTGGAGAGAGAAGAAGGAACAAATTATGGAGTCCTAATATAGAAGCAAGCATGCCAAAGTCCACAATGAATTATTGATTAGATGGTCAATTATTTAGTTTGAATTAGGTAGATTGTGCATCTGAATCATGGAAATTCTTCATATAAACTTAACCTACAATGACAATCGTCGTCGCCATAACATGGATACAACGTGATAAGATTCATGTGGACGAATGATTTGCACACACCAGGGAATTAGGTGGGCCGAAACTGACGAGTGCAATCTACTGCGTCAGTGTTTTGTGCTTTCAAAGGAAAGTGCTTTGGTCCAGAAAGCACCTATGCATAGAACATGACCTTCGTCGTTAGAAGTGCATGGTCTTTTTATCACCAAAAGACTCTCTCTGGGTGGCTCGAGTACATCATCATCCGTTGAAATATCGCAATATCTCCATGCACGTTGCACAAAGGGAAGGTGACAGAGGCAGCCCTTTGGTCTTCTAATGGAGAACAGGAACCGGTGAGTGAGAGGGAAAAGGAGCACCTGAGAAGCTTGGCTCATCAGGAAATGGTGAAGATGATAACTCCAGAGCTCCTAGTGGGAGGCGTTAAGCAAGGTATTGTGTATGGAATGGATCGGAGAATAGATCGATAGTACTGACCAGGGATGGGTATCGGTCAGGAGCAAACGAGTGGCTCACGAGCAAGGACATTAACATAGGCAGTGGCTGAGTTGTGCACAAGACAGCTGGGTCGCTTAACCCAAAGGACAGGCAAAGGGTATGCTTAAGTGGAGTAGGGATGTGCATTGGCGCTTCATGTTCAGACCGGCACACAAGTGATCCAATGCACAAGTTGTGGCGAACGTTACTGCAAGGTGATCGCTTCATGCGGGAAAGGGCATGACTGGCCTTAGCGATGGTCCATACTGTGGATCGATTGGCTCAAGAACGAGAAACAGTTATGGGAGGACTCCGTTCACGAGTGAAACTTGTATAGATAGGGATCGATTGCATGAGTGCCCGATGTAAGAGCAGAAATACCTGGAACCGGTGGTGTCATGGATATGATTGGCCTGAAGGATCGGTGCAAAGAGCGCGCTCCACGGGCTACGCAAGCATTGCCTGGCTGGAACATGCACTACTTTTGCCTGCAGATTAGAGTAGAGATGTAAGCTTAGAGTGTAATGCACATGCAGGTTACCAAACGACGAGCCGCGGTGCACGGCGATCAGGACAGTGCACGAGCGAGTCAGTGACGCAACCGGTCCAGCCTACAACGGGGAGTGCCAGACTGGGTGGGTCAAGGCTGCATCATGGGAGCCAAACTGCTGAAGAACGTTGCTAGGGTTTGTTGGGATTGGTCTCTAGCAGTTGGCAGCGATTGTAGATTTGGATAAAACGGGACTTTCGTTTGAATTATTGCAATTGTTTGACTGACTTACTATTTCTAAGTATAAAGTTTGGAAATGTTCTAACATTGATATCGGCATATGATCAAACATGTGATGTGCATTCTTTTTTGGCTCGACTAGTTCTTATGCATGCAAACTATCCACGTCCGCATGCATAATTAAGGCTCGCCCGTTCGGTGGCGGGTGCGGTTCGCAAAGTCACTCTCAGGGGGTTAGATATTTTAACTCGACGTGAGAAAAATTATAATTATTTTTTTTTGGTAACCCAGGGAACCCCCGCACGGCCGACAGCCGGGGAGTAAACTCTGGGGGCGACACGTGCTAGCCACCACACACGTGCCACCGGTTAAGTCACCCTGCGGCGCCCGGGATTCGAACACTTAACCTTTTGCGAGAGGAAGAGTGCGCGCTCCAGCAGCGCCACCCAGGCGGGTGGTGAAAAAAAAAAATTTATAATTTTCGTCCCTATACTTTCATACTTTTTTCTTAATCAGATCATTAGGCTCTTAGTTTGTCTAATCAAGTCTTTATACTTTCACAATTTTCTCTTTGAATCTCTCTAGTATCAACGATGAATAAATACAATTAGGATCGCTGTCAAACGACGTCGCGGTATGATGTGAATGGAATTTACTGAATGGAGCGGGAAAGCGAAAAGAGTCGTGGGCTCTCCCTCCTCCTCCCATTCGCGACAAAAACATCGAATCGAAGAGGGTGGCTTCAACTTCAGCTCCGAGGAAGAGCCACGGACAATGACCACTTCGAAATCGAGCCATCTAAAATAAGACCACCGCTCTTTCCTTTGTCATTATAGTTTTTATTATTTTTGTCTTCCCCCTTCATTCATTATCCGCGCTAGATGTCACATTGTCGGCAAAATTTTCACCATGCTACACTTTGACGTCGTCCAATGGCGAGGTCGGTCAAACTTGGTCAGGTCTAGTGCCAAATAAGATCGATTAGAAAAATTGTGCGAACAGAAGAACTTGATTGGGCGAATCAAAAGTAAGAGAACTCCATTAAAAAAAGCGTGAAAATATACGAACGAGAAGAATCTAATTTTCCATTGAACACGTCACGATACCTCCACATTGATGATATATTGATTGACTTGCTAGAGAGTCGAGTACAATTGAAATGGAGAAATTGCCCCCATCAAATTTAGAAATTTCAAGAAGAGTCGGGGTATCTTTTTTTTTTGGTAACCGAGGATCTGCCACCATTCCCCGGGGACGAGCCAGCACGGGTAATCGGGGCGCCTATACCTCGGGGGAGACTAGCCCAGCAACCCACCTCCGGGACCCCCAACTTAAATTACGGAACCGAGCGGGGATTCGAACCCAGAACCTCTGAAGAGGGAAGGAAAGCGCCCACCAACTCAGCCATGCGCAGGTGGGTTAGAGTTGCAGTATCTTTGACTTCAATAATACAAAGAATCTCGATATCATAATATGATCGGTCAAGACTCTGCTTAAGTCATTGACAATTGATTTAAGAACTAAATTTTTCAAGAAAGATAAAGAAATCATTTATAAAGGCTGATTTGAAGTGTGTTCACTCTGATGGTTGATTTTGCTATTACAAAACAATTGGAGGACCCTTTTGAAAAGATGCCCGCACGCCTTGTACCCCAAA